TATATATATATATATATATATATATATATATATATATATATTGGATGAAGCTCAAACGAGAATGACGATGCGAAACGACATGGTTCTTCTTATTGCTTGTGAGTTTGGGTGCTCCGGTGAATGCACTGGTCAACGATCAAAAAACAAGGTGAATGGTGTGAGCCGCGCTGGGAACATGTTTGAAAGATGCGGGTAAAACTATGTGAGAAACGGAAGGGGATGAAAGTTGAGAGCGTGTACATACGAAAGAGTGATGCGGCTGGCGGGAGGCGGCTAAGTAGACTTGTTTCTTGCTTCTGTTTTTGTTTGGACTATGCTCTTTTTCTGTCTTCCTTTGCTGTGGTATACTTTTCTTTGTGTTATTAATGTGTTTTGTGTTGTTTTTTTGTTCCTTTTTTTTCCTCTTTCTCCACTTTAACAACCGCCTTTACGGCTTCGTTGCGGTAGTGACAATCCAGTCGACTTAGGTGGTGAGCTGGCTATTTCCCGATGATTCTTTATTTTGTTGGTGGATGTTTCATGTGGGAATAATTAACTTCGGCGACAAAGGCGTTGTGGTGGCCCGGAACCTCTATATATGCTTTTTGCATACATGCATACATGGCACATGTTTTTATTCTGCTCGTTGTGAGTATGCCTGTTGAGGCGAGTATATGGAAGCAAGATGACAGATGCAAGCTGTACCTTCTCATTTTGATTGAGGATGGTGGCAGTCACGGTCTCCCTTGCTTCAGCTGAGTACCAATGGAAGGGGGATTCATCTATGAAGATAATACGAGGGTAAACTTGGGGAAGGAGACGACGCCGTTCTTCACCTTCTTCTAGATTTGATCGATTACTATATTGGTACATAGAAACAAAAACAAAATTGAGGGATATTTGTCCTGTCTCGTTGGTTGCGGCATCCCTGTTTCTTGGCTGCTTTCTTTATTATTTTGTCGTACGCATGCATCCTACGTTTTTGTTTTTGTTTTTACTTTTTCATTTTTTTTGTCTCTGTTTGGGTGCTGTACAGGACAGCATTCCGATTTGTTTTAATTAGCGCATTTAGAAGTGAAATTTGTTAGGGGCGGGTTTCTCATGTCTTCTTATCAGCGCGTAACTGTGAAGTTTGCCGGAGGCTGCGAATTACTTTTTGATAAACAAACCCAGCTGCAACTGGAAGGGGTCATTCCCCATGGTACAACCATCAACGGACTGGTGCAGCTACTGAAGGTGAACTACGTAAGAGAGAGGCCTGACCTCTTTGTAGACCCGTCGGGAACCGCACTCCGTCCCGGGATCCTCGTTCTTGTGAACTCGTGTGATGCAGAAGTTGTGGGCGGCATGGACTACGTTCTTGCTGATGGTGACACCGTCGAATTTATCTCGACTCTACATGGTGGGTGAAGGGCACAGCACGTATGCATCTAAAATACGATCTTTGTTCTATCTTTCATTGTCTATATCTCTGTCATTCAAAGGTTGCAGAGAGTGCCCTTTCGGCATCCGTAACTGCTTTCTTCAATGTGTTTTAAAAGCTGAAAGTTCTCCATCCCCTCTTTTTTTTGGGGGGAGGTAGTTTGTTGGTGTGCTTTGTCCTCTGCTTCACAACAGGAACTATTGATCATATTCGGATACCTCTCCAGTGCCCCTGGAGGAAGATGCAGGATCAAGTGATTCGGGCGAACATCAACGTTGGCATTTTGGGCCACGTCGACAGCGGTAAGACGTCTCTGGCGAAGGCGCTCTCTTCTACTGCGTCCACAGCGGCGTTTGACAAGAGTCCTGAGAGCCAACGTCGCGGTATCACGCTTGACTTGGGCTTCAGTGCCTGCTGCATTTCCACAGCTGTGGCTGCACCGCCGCTGCATGCAGCAGGCATTGAGGAGATTCAATGCACCTTTGTTGACTGCCCGGGTCATGCTTCCCTCATTCGGACTGTTTTGGGTGGGGCACAAATCATAGACATCATGATTCTTGTTATCGATGCGTGTAAAGGAATACAGACGCAGACCGCGGAGTGCATTGTAATTGGCGAAGTCCTGTGTAAGCCGTTGTTAGTGGTGATTAACAAAATTGATGCGGTGCAAGGTTCAACTCCAGCAGACAAGCGCGCAACACTGAATAAATTGCGGAAACGTCTTGAAAAGACGTTTGAACGTACCCGCTGGCCCTCCGTACAGATGGTGGAAGTTGCTGCCGCCCCGCGTGGAGACGGGGTGACAACAGGGGAGGTGGCTCACCCCATAAATATGGAGGAAGTGACTTCTGCTGTTTTGAGTCTTGTCGATGTAGCAGCATTGAAGGACCAGTTCGAAACACCACTGCGCTCGGAGGATTTTGCAATGATGTTTGATCACTGTTTTGCCTTGAAGGGCCAAGGCACCGTTTTTACCGGCACCGTTCTTCGTGGCCAAGTTAGCGTTGGCGATAGCGTTTTGATCCCGGACGCGCACCTGGTGAAAAAGGTGAAAGGGTTGCAAGCCTTTCGAAGGCCTTTGCAACGGGCGAGACGCGGAGATCGCGTGGGGTTGTGTGTAGTGCAGTTTGATGCCGAGGGGGTCGAACGGGGTCTATTGTGCAGCGCACAGCAGCATAGAGGAGCACTCCCAGCTGACGCATCTCCTTTGTTTGAGAGTGCAAGCGTGCTGATTGCGGAGGTGAATCGTGTACGATTCCATCAACTTTCCTGCGATGCCCACACTAAATTTCACATTACCATTGGACACTCAACCGTGATGGGGACGATGAGGTACTTTAGTCGTCCCACGGTGGATACGCAGGAGGAGAAGGTCAACGTGTTTGATCTCTTGCAGGAGAGTTTATACGTTGATGAACTCACAGAGGACACCTTTCTCACCTTTGGTAACATTGAATGGAAGCCGAAAGTTGGTTACCCCGTCGCCGTGAAGCGCGGCCCTCTCACGTATTACGCTATTGTCCTCTTGGACCGACCCATTTTGGCTGCCGTTGGCACACCGCTAATTGCCACACGACTCGAAATGGAACGCGAAAATATGTGCCGCATTGCAATTGCGGGGTCAGTGTGTGCGCTGCTAAATGTTGGAGGTTCTGGTGCTGCATCGCCCATGTTCTGGCGAGACTTGCCGATTGTTCGGTATAAGTCCAGGGCGCTTGTTGTAGAGCGCGTGCTAAACGAGAAGACTTGTATTGCCAGCGGTGTTGTTGGGTTTGAAGCCCCGGACACGAGCTGCGGTAATGACAACCATAAAACGAAGGAAAAAGACATCCTCCACGCGGAGGTGCAGAAGTTTATTGGCATGCGGGTTCACTTTCGTCCGACTGTGGACGAAGAGGCTGATGCTTCCACACTCACCGGGATTAAGGTGGGGGTGATTGACTCCGCATTTGGCAAAACGGGGAAAGTAAAGCTTGTTTTTAAGGAGCCCATTTTTGCGAACGAGCCCTCGGGTGCAGGGCGAGCGAAGCGAAGTGGTGTGGCATTTCTCACGGACGGTGTCGTGGAGCTCACACTCAAAAAGTATCCTCTTGCGCTTCACAGTCAGCTCCAGCAATAGGCGTTGTGTGCAGGGAGAAGGAACGGAGGAAGCCGTGAAACGTAAAGGGTTATTGTATTCCACATGACGTACGTTTTTCGGGGCTTCCCTCCTGGTATTTACCACCCTTCGTTCATGATCATTATTTTGTTTCTGACCCTCCTTCGTTTTTGTTGTTTTTTTTTGTCTTCTCTCACCACCCGCTTTAGTGGTGGTCCTGGCAGCCCCTTTTCTTGCGTTGCTTTTTGCCATATTGTGTTGTTCACCACTTACTTTTTTTTTCTCCATCCGCTGAGTTCGGGTGTTTTGGTGATGAGTTGACTCTAGGTTAATGGAGTGTCACTGCTTCTCTTGACCCCGATCTGTTCGTGTCAAGCCACCACCTTTGCGGCATCAGTATGTTTGCCCATTCGGAACCTATGGGCTGCATGTTGTACGTCGTATTCCTCGAATACAGTAAACCACCAAGGAATTCGGCGCCTGACCACACGCAACATTTTGACGGCAGTACGCTACTCCAGGGTGTTGTAGCCAATATGGCTAACATCATTAACTTATATGTTTATTGCGCTTTTGTGTTTCAGGGCTACACGAAACGCTTTGAAGATGGAGTAAGGGTTGTATATTCGTAAAAATAAAAGTGGGTCAGGGCGGCATGGCTGTATTTGTTCCAATGAAATCTAGGAGTAAGGAGCAGCAGAATTACCTTATCTGGAAGTAAAACAAAAGGCTGCATAGATTGCGGAGGGGTGTTTAACGCAGGAATTACGGCGTGTACACCGGCTTCTCTGCACGGATGTCGAAGCCATGCTTACTTACGATGTTGCGTGTACCTCCCTCTCGGAGGTGGCTCTTTATCGCCCTGCCATACATTGCACGCTTCACCAGCACACTGCGCATGCGTTGCATAAACTGAGCGCTCCCAACAACCTTATGCGTTTGCTTACAAAGATAGCGTATTCAATGACTGGCACTAACATTTATACTGCCACCCCCATTGGTCACCATTTTTTTCCATTGATGATGGTACCAGGTATTGTGATTGGGTCAACCGTCATTATTGGCGACCATGTAAGTATCTACCATGAGGCCACGCTGGGGGTGGTTTCCTTTCCCGTGGATCAGGAAATTGGAAAGAAGATTCGGAGTCTTCCACGCCACCTCATTATTATGGGCAGAGTGGTCCTCTATGCCAACGCGCCGGTGCTCGTCCGAATTAGGACTGGAGAGGATGGCGTTATCGGTGCCAACTTTGGGGTTGTGAAGAGTTTGTCCACCCCCCTTTCCAGTCCGTCATTGCATGCACTCAGCAGAGAAAAGCTTCTCGCTCCAGGTATGGCGCTTCTAATGGGTAGATTGGGTATCTGGCAGTGACGTACACACATTTATGCAGAGGAAAAGTGTACAAGAAAATAAAACAATGGACATTCTACAAATGGAGAGACCACTGCAACAAGAAAAAAGTAAAGCAAATATATATATTTTTAACATTCATTGATGCTTTCTGGCTACTGTCATTACGGCACCTTTAATAAGGCGCAAAACAGTAATCAAGGAGATGGAAATAAATGATTCTCCAAAAATTGTACTTGTGTCGTCTCTGTTGTTGTCGTTTTTTTTTTTTTTATCATCGCTATCGTTTTTGTATCGATTGAGTCACTTGATCAAGCCCATGGAAAGAGTTGTAGTATGTGCATGTACGTGGGTCTTTTTTTTTTTATGCATGTGTGCATGATGTCTCTTCTGAAGTAATTGAGGTGTTCTTCTTGGTACCATGCTGGGGCACAAACGTGGTATGAAACAAGAGGAGTTTTCTGTGATGATGTGCACACGGCACTTGCAGTATCCGGGCATTCCTACATCTTTTCTCCTCACACACACAAAATGTGACAGTATTAGTGGTGGAAACCGAAGGCAACACGATGTTTCGTGCCAGTGCCCTATGGCTTCGCGGTCAGTACAAGACACGCCTTAAGAAGCGCATGGTCGGTTTCATCCCAAAGGTGGTTCCACGCAAAATAAAGAACAATATGGTGGCTCTACGTAGTGAGGCCAACACCGGACACATAGAGGGGTACTTAAAGACCGAGACGGAAAGACTTGACGCTACCGGTCGCAAGGTTCAAAAGGTACTGTGGGATCCTGTCCTGCAGAGACACTGTTTATTCAAGGAGACAAAGATTCGAGGACCCTTCTTGACAAAAACAGCCATCGTCAAGAAGGTGGATTTCCCTATTGGGACTACAGGAGCAGCATCGACGAAGTAGCGGCCCTTTGAGCGCGAGCAAAGAAAGAAACGAAGAAAAGAAGCGAAGGTATACCCTGTGAACAGAGGGCAATTGCCTTGGCAAGACGCATTTCATCCGCTAAAACTTTCTCCACCGCCAATTGTATCAAACGAAAAACTACTAGTGATCTTTTTTTAAAACCTTTTTTACTTCTGTATGCCATCTTCCTTTCATGGGGGCGGCTGTGTGCATCCATGCCCCCGAAACTCCGAAGACAGCTGCCATAGTAGATGGAAAGGACGAGTCGAATGACAGCTATCTTACTCACATGGCCATCACACGGAATATATTTCTGCTAGGACTGAAGAGGAACGTCACGCCGTTGCATCAGCGAGCAGCGATTGCGTCAACACTGCGTTTTAGAATGGCACGCGTATCGAAGAGTTGTCACTGTCAACACAGTCACCAAAAATCACAAGATTGAGACGTGGTCTCTGACACCTTCATCGCCTACGCTGCGACCACACACAGTGCAGATGCTTCTTCCCGAAGATACAACAAAATGATATTTTACGTGCATTTTATGAGAAAAAACAACGACCCACCAAACTTGTTAGCACGACTTCTTACTGCATTGCAATGCAACTGTCCAATCCGTGAAACCTTTTAAAATAATATGAGGTCATCACGTGGGGCCAAAACACTGTAAATAAAAGGGCATTACAAAGTCGACAATTTTTGGCCACTCAGGATACACGCCATTCAACGATAAATACAATTCAAAGAGAGGTATATTTACCAACAATAATGCGCACACATTTAAAAAAAAAACATCATGACGTGCGTACAACCTACATTTATCCATATTTGCTCAGTAGCTCTTATGCAATGACTATCACCAGAAACTTTACGAAAGTATTCATCTTACCAACACACATTCTGACATGTTCGCTTGATTTACATTGGAATCCTTTGAGTTTTGTTCAGCACTTTATCGAAAAAAAAAATACTGCATAACAGCGACACCAACAGAAACAGCAATACCTCTTGCCACAACCACAAGAGAAAATACACTCTATTGTGCCACCTTTACTACTTATGTGGTGTCTAGTGTGTCGCTGTGTGTGTGCTTTGTCTCATGTTCTGTTTCTTTTCGTTTTGCTTGTTACTTGTTTTAAATATTTGGGATCTTAGGTAACCCCGGATACGCGTTCATGTCTCACTGCAAGTTTGAGCACCCCCGCCACGGCCATCTTGGCTTTTTGCCACGGAAGCGCAGCCGGCAGATCCGCGGTCGTGCCCGCTCCTTCCCCAAGGATGACCCCTCGCAGAAGCCACATCTCACCAGCTTCATGGTGTTTAAGGCTGGTATGACGCACATTGTGCGTGACGTTGACAGGCCTGGTTCCAAGGTGAACAAGAAGGAGGTTGTGGAGCCAGTGACGATCCTGGAGGCACCACCGATGGTGGTGGTGGGTATTGTCGGCTACCGCCAGACGCCTGTGGGACACAAGACGATCGGCACTGTGTGGGCGCACCACACCAGCGTGGAGTTCC